CCACGCGGAAGCCCCGCCCCCGGCCCGCGCCGCCGCCCGCGCCGCTCGCCGCCGCTGTCAATCAAGGGCGAGTCAGCCGGGCTCGGGCGGAGAGAGGAGCTGCTACGCCACAGCCCAGCGGCGGCCATTCGCGGAAAAAGAGGCAGAGCCTGTGCCAGCTACTGCCTCCTCCGAGCCACCGCGGGCGGGCGGGACCGGCCTCTCCTCCCGCCTCGCCCCCACCCCCACCCACCTCTATCCCAGTGTCTCCGTCTGAGGGTTTGTCCTGTTAATGCGGGATGAGCGGTACGTATTCTCCACCCCCCTCGGTCTCCTTCACCGCCTCCCTCCCTCCCTCCCCAGACCCTGCTCGGTTCTCCCCCTCCCCCGGGGCCGCTGAGATGCTTTAAGGGGAGGAGGAGGAGGAGGGAGGGAATCGAGGGAGGGAAGGAGGGTTGTGTTTTGTCTTAATGTCTGAGAGAGAACAACCTCCTTCTGGGTGTTGCTCTGGAGCCGATGGGTCGGGTTTCAAACCACGTTTTGTGATATCCCCCTCCTCCCTTCCCTCCTTCTCCCCCACCCCCTGCCGGTGTGCGTGGATCTCCGGTTTATGGAGATTAATGTTCGGGGGGAGGGGGAGAGAAAAAGGGGGGGCGAATAATAATAATCCTAATAACCTGTTGTCGTGTATGTGTGTGGGGGGCTTGTTGCAGATCAGAAGAAGGAGGAGGAGGAGGAGGCGGCGGCGGCAGCGGCGATGGCTACAGAAGGAGGGAAAACCTCTGAGCCAGAGAATAACAATAAAAAACCCAAAACCTCAGGCTCCCAGGTAAAAACAAACATAAAAAAATTCGTCACGAGACCTAAGGGGAGAGAGGGAGTATGCCCTTTAAATGTGCCCAAAAGTGACGAACAGAATAAAAACGTTTATCCACTCAAAAGCATCTTTCTGAGAGTGAGGAACTTAAATTGTAAAGTCAAAAAGATTTCACGTGTGTGAGGGATACCGTTGTTTTAAAATTACATCAGCCACTCAGACTATTAAAAAAAAAAAAAAAACGTGTATTTTCCCAAGGACATTTTGAGTTCAGGAAAATAACACTTTGAAGAAAGTTTTTTAGAAATTTCCTTTTATTTAAACTTTGCGTTACAGGGTCTGCCTTCTTATTCTTATATCTTACTACTTTGGTTCATATTTTCTTTTGATTTCTGCACATCCTGAGTAAGTTCTGAAATGTAGAGCTGTCAAAATAAATAAATAACCCACTCTCAGCTACTGGCCTCCACTAAATCCGCCCACTTTTTTTTCCCCTCTTCTTCTTTACCATCCCATTTTGGGTAGGACTCTCAGCCCTCTCCTCTGGCTTTACTGGCAGCTACTTGCAGCAAAATAGGGACTCCTGGTGAAAATCAAGCGACTGGACAACAACAAATTATTATAGATCCAAGCCAAGGATTGGTGCAACTTCAAAATCAACCACAACAGCTAGAACTGGTAACAACACAACTTGCTGGAAACGCTTGGCAACTTGTTGCCTCCACTCCTGCTTCAAAAGAAAGTAACGTTTCTCAACCAGCTTCTAGTTCATCTAGTTCTTCCAACAGTAATAACGGGAGTGCATCTCCTACAAAAACTAAATCAGGTAATTCTTCCACCCCTGGTCAATTTCAAGTTATACAAGTACAAAATCCAAGTGGCAGTGTACAGTACCAAGTGATCCCACAACTTCAGACAGTGGAAGGCCAGCAAATTCAAATCAATCCAACTAGTAGTTCATCTCTACAGGATTTGCAGGGTCAAATTCAACTCATTTCTGCAGGTAATAATCAAGCTATACTCACTGCTGCTAACAGGACAGCTTCTGGTAATATTCTTGCTCAAAACTTGGCAAATCAGACAGTTCCAGTCCAAATTAGACCTGGTGTTTCAATACCATTGCAATTACAGACCCTTCCTGGTACTCAGGCTCAAGTTGTAACAACTCTACCTATTAATATTGGAGGAGTGACTTTAGCTTTGCCAGTGATAAACAACGTGGCTGCTGCAGGAGGAACTGGACAGGCTGGCCAGCCTACAACTACTACTGATAGTGGGACTTCCAATGGGAGTCAGTTAGTTTCTGCACCCACCACCACTACTGCTTCTGCCAGTACTATGCCGGAATCTCCCTCATCCTCCACAACGTGCACAACCACTGCTTCAACATCTCTGACGAGCAGTGACACGTTAGTGAGCTCAGCAGACACGGGCCAGTATGCAAGCACTTCAACCAGTAGTTCTGAAAGAACTATTGAAGAATCGCAGACACCTGCTGCTACTGAGTCTGAAGCCCAGAGTTCTAGTCAGCTTCAGCCCAATGGAATACAGAATACACAGGATCAATCAAATTCTCTTCAGCAGGTGCAAATTGTAGGCCAGCCTATCTTGCAACAGATCCAGATTCAACAGCCTCAGCAACAGATTATTCAGGCGATTCCACCGCAGTCATTTCAACTCCAGTCAGGGCAGACAATTCAGACCATCCAGCAGCAGCCTTTGCAGAATGTTCAACTTCAAGCAGTAAATCCGACTCAGGTGCTTATTAGGGCTCCAACTTTAACACCTTCAGGGCAAATCAGTTGGCAGACTGTACAGGTTCAGAATATTCAGAGTCTTTCAAATTTGCAAGTTCAGAATGCTGGGTTATCCCAACAATTAACCATCACCCCAGTGTCTTCAAGTGGTGGCACAACTCTTGCTCAGATTGCTCCTGTGGCTGTTGCTGGTGCCCCAATAACTTTGAATACTGCCCAGCTTGCATCAGTGCCTAACCTTCAGACAGTGAGTGTTGCCAACCTGGGTGCTGCAGGTGTTCAAGTACAAGGAGTTCCAGTTACAATCACTAGTGTTGCAGGTAAGTTACTACGATCTTTCCTTTAAGAGCCTTTGAAATAATTTTGAATGATGATGATTGCTTTGCTTTTTGCTTTGCCAACTGATTAGATTTGACCTAGACCTCAGAAATAAACGTGATTATATGGAGTTTATGCAGGAAAGTATGTTGACTGCTATAACTCTGGAATCTGTGTGAACCATTCATGTTCGTACATTTTAGTATTGAGTTTTATGTGTTAGATTTGTTGGACAGCTTTATATATAAAGTTCTTACTGGGGCACAGTTCCTGATTAGAATAATTGTCTTATAATTTAGAAATCATGTTTGAATGCTCTTGAACTCTTTAGAACTCAGTCAGATGATACTTACATCTTTAAGGGAAAGTAGGCTTAAAGATTACCAAGAGTAGAGTTGTAAGTTATTTGAAGATTTTTTCTTCTGTGTAATAAGGCTTACTAACTTTTTCTTAAATTCAAAGTTACTTCTCATAATTTAGCTTCTTGTTGCCCATGCTTTTCTGTTTTATAACATTGGGTGTTAAGTTCAATATTGATACAGTTAAGACTTCAAATTTTAAGTTGCAAATCACTATTAATTTTTATGTCTAAGACTTAACATAAGGGTTGCTCAGGATTTTGAGTTAATAGTGCTTTATAAAATTAAGTAAATCTGGTGTTTTTCAATGTGAAGAAGATAGAAAGCAATTAGAAATGAAGTTATGTCACTAATTTGACTTGATTGCATATAAGTTATTATAATATGCAGATAAATGGATGGCTAGGTGGTTTGAAGTATTTGAAAATCTAGTTCTGTTAAATATTTTAACTTTTGTGGACCTGTATTATTACTGTTTATTTCCTAGTACTTTGACTGTGTTTCATTGATTCTGATTTGATGAAAATCTAGTCCTGGTTTTAGTGCCCTAGATACTTTCAGACCTCTTTCAATAAATACTTAAATATTTTGACGAACTGCAGTGAGTTAACATATCATTAAAAATGACTTCTTGAAATTACTTTTAGAAGTATGCTAGTGTTCTTGTTTTACACTTACTATCTAAAGTAGATGTATATACTGAAAATTGGAAGTGCCAGGGAGAGCCTTCTGATTCAGAACAGAGATTACAGTTTTTACTTAGATAAGCATTACCTCCAAACCAGTGCTGTCCAGTAGAATTTCCTGTAATGATGGAAGTATTCTGCATCCATTTTATCCAACATGTAAGCCACTAGCCATGTTGGACAGTTGAGCACTTGAAATGTGGCTAGTGTATCTTAGGCACAGATTTTCAATTTGATTTCATTTTAATTGTTTTTACCCCCTTCCTTGCTTTTGATTTAATTTAAATAGCCACATGTGACTAGTGACTCCCGGGTTGACAGCACAGTAGTAACCTAGTCAGGGAATATTTTAAATGTGGTATTTTTTTTTCCTCCCTAAAGCTGTTAAGGCACAATTTGTGTTTGTCTGGATTAAAGTCCTTAGCTTGCTTCTTTTCCTAAACACTGACAATAACTTGAGTATTTCAGAAACATGTCTGTTTGTGATGGTTGGAATGTCTGTTTGCATTGTGAAAACGAAAGTTATTTTACTTATATTTTGTCTTGCGTATTAAGCATTAGTGAATTTTGAGTAAGAGAATTCTAAGTAACAAAATTTAGGTTCTAAGTAGTCGATTTTGTTCTCTAACTGGTGTCCATTACAAACCAGGGATTTCTACTTGTCCAGTGTGAGGGTAAGCCAGTGTTACCAAGAATATGATCTTTTGAGAATTTAACACAGATTCGCTTGAATAGTGGTTATATTACAAATGTGTCAGCACTTTTCAGGGGGTGTGGTCAAGAAATTTGCCTGTCAAACAAACTTTCCAGGTGAACCTAAGCTTGGAAATTTCAGAACGAAGAGTCTAGTTTTTACCAGGAGGCAAAGGTGAAAAAGATGAGTGTCAGGTGTGCTTTAGAGAATGGATTCGTTGGTAAATACTATTTAAAGTTTTTATTCTACCAACACTGAGAGACTACACCTATTGAGCGCAATAGGTTTATTTAGTCCATTTTCAGGAACAAATTTTTTCTTAGGGAATTTACATGATCTGGAGGCACTTAATTGAGGAAACTTGAACTTTACAGTTGATTTTTCTTCCCTAAAAATAAAGATTTTCAGTTTTTAAATGTTTTAAGAGTTTATTTTCTAATGAGAGATGCTCGATAGTTTTGAGATAGCTATGTTACAAAGACCAGAAATATACCAATTTTTGCAGATCAGCACAGTTAATCTGGGCCCAATTGTTTGTAGAGTTTGCCCTGTTGTTTAGCATGGTAGGTTCTTTTTTTTTTTTTTTTTCAAGCTTTATTTATCTATTCATACAGAACTGGGGTACAAGCCAGAGATGCGGAGGTTGAGAGGATTCATCAGAGACAGAGTGGGGAGCAGAACAGGCAGATCGGAGGAAGTACACTGCTGAGGGGAGCAGCGGGCTGGTCAGGAGAGGTCTGCCAGCCATGTGGATCTCCTCTGGGGCAGGCGTGGATCGAACTGATGCGGAAGTGACTTAAGCTTTTTAGGGCTTGCTGTGCTTTAACCTGCTGGGATGGTCCATATGGTGGGTTCTTGACAAAAGTTTTCTAAGTTAAATTATAGAAGGTAATGTAGAAAAAAATAATTTGGAATTGGGAGCAATGACCCTACAGTAGTTTTAAAAAAAAAACTAATGAAATAGATCTCTTTTCCTTAATTTATTCTGACTTTTTGTTTTTAAGATATGTAAGAGTGTGATACAAGGTATCTGGTATCCTCTGGAAAGGAAACAGTGAACAATAATTTCCTGTATGTCTCTTTTCTAAATGAACACTGCAATTTCAGATCATTTATTTTGTGTCTTCATTTACTGTTTGGTACTTTTCTGTTTATTTCAAATTGGTTCCCCTCCCCAAGAAAATGGTATTTTTTAATTTATGGGGCAGGCTTTTCTGTAAACATGACAGTTACATTACCAAAGACTTGAAAACAAATTACTAGCCAGTCTTGATAGAAAGTAATGGCTAGCTGAAGAACATGGGTTGAGCATGTGATTAAAATTTGTTATAATCCATTTGTTTACTCTTCAGGAGGTAGGGGAAGGATCTTATCATGTGGTCAGGAAAAAAAGTCATACAAGGTAAATGAAGGTGCAACCAATTATTGAACCTGTATTCTTCATACTTCATTTTATGAAATGGCAATGTTAGTGACAACCTGGGGTGGGGGGGACCTTGTTCCTTGGTAGATTCAGTGTGATATGTTTTCTGTGCTTTTGTCTTAAAATTTGAATAACTAGCATTTAATTTCTTGAAATTGTCATAGGAATTAATACCTATATCTTTTTGTTTTTGTTTTTTTTTTTTTTTTTGGATTCAGAGTTTGAAGGAAAAGAATAAATCCATTTCTCAAGGAAAAGAATAAATCCAATTTTGAAGTTTAGGGCATCTATATAATTGTACTGCTGGTTTAAGAACATTCTTTTTCTTTTTTCATCTGTCATTTTAAACAGTGCTATCTTTTTGTTTTTGTTTTTTCCCTCATCTTTTTTTTTGTTTTTTACTAAGTGGAAGATGTTTTGGAAATAAAGATGAGGAACATGGAAGATGATTTCCTGAAAAAGAAGTACTTTATTTTTTCCATGTTGTATTCTGTTAGCTAATGAGCTCTAGATAAAGAAATCATCAGGAATTAAAATTTCTCTCCTTGAAGAATTCAGGATTTGTAAGAACCATTGATACCTAAATCTTTAATTAACTTGTAGTGGCCAGTTATTTGATTTGGTTTGACCCTGCTCTAATCACAAACTGTAATTTACTAGATTTCCTGATGAATGGATAAGTGTCAATTTTAGAGGAAATTCACCTCTCTCACCCATCTCTCCATTTCACACAACAGAAATTTACATTTGAGTATAAGACTTGAAAGAAAGTCACCCTTAAGCACATGACTCTTCTTTTTGTTCTTTTACTTCTTTGGTGGTTTTAAAGTAAACCTGGGGCTATAGCAGAATCAGGAATGGGAAGGCTGCTTCTTTATTATTAGTTAAAATGGGGACCCATGAAAATAATCAACATCTACGTTTAATTTTTTTTAAAGATTTATTTACACATACAAGAACTGGGATATAGGCCAGAGGTGTGTGGGTGAAAGGATTCCCTAGAGACAAAGTGGGGAGCAGAACAGGCAGATGTACTGAAATATACTGCTGAGGGGAGCATGAACAAGACAGGAGAGATCTACTGCATCGTGTAGATTACCTCCCTGCCTGGGGATTGAACTTATATGTTGTAGTGGATGCAACATAGCTTGATAGTGCTATCTCTTTAACCTCAGCACCATGGGGAGGCTCATTTACATTTAATTTTAAAACCTAACAATCCACTCTTATACCGAGACTTTTCTCCAGAACTGTTAGAAAACTGATAAAGTTCAATACAAATATGTTTTTCCTTTGCCATGTCTTCTGTTAATTTGTATTTTCCTAATAAGCATCTTAAAACTGCATGTCATACATGTATGTTTATATATACAACACATACACACATGTTGCATGTAGTTTTTTCTTTTTTTCAGAGAAATTAAGCTTAATGATGTAATTGTTTCTCTAAAATCATTTAATACTGTTTTAGATTTGAATTCATTATGAAGTCCTTACATCTTAGGCCCCATGCAAATAATTTAGCTTCTGAACTACCGAGTTGGTTTTACCCATTAGATGATAAGATACATAGCATGACCTTTAATCTGTTGGTGATGAATTAACAATATTGCTTATTTTTAAGTTTTTCATGGAAGAAGAGAAAGTACTCAAAGTAAAACCAATTTTTTTTTTAAAGATTTATTTATTTATTTGTACAGAACTGGGGTACAGGCCAGAGATGCGGAGGGTGAGAGAATTCACCAGAGACAGAGTGGGGAGCAGAACAGGCAGA